CCACGGGAGAAACCCTCTGGGGCACGGGCGCACGTTCCCTCCTTCCACAGTGCAGAGCGGTGGCCTCCAAGCGGCCAGATAATGTCCCACTCGACCTCCCTTCCATCAAGCGAGTGTGTTCCTCCCCAGCAGCCAAGACAGAGGACAAACCTGTGGACTCTGATGGAGGGCAGGTAAGCTCCCCAGATGGCAGGGGGAGTGTGCCAGAGAGGGAGCAAGCCAGGGGCAACTATAACCACCTGTGCCCCCACAGGCTGCCCTACACCTGGAACCCCTGCACTTCCTGCAGTGCCATAGCAGAAACAGCAGCCCTAAGGACCTGGAGACCCAGCTGTGGGCCTGTGCCTTTGAGCCTGCCAGGGAGGAGGGTACACACTGGGGCCCACGGGCAGTGGGAGGCTTGGGTCACACAGTGGTACTCAGTGGCAGAGTGATTAAAAGATCCTTGAGGAATTCAGTGAGATTGTTTTTAGGGTAGAAAGGGATGGAAGTGGGTGGCGGTGGCGCACGCCTTTAATCCCAGCACTCTGGAGCAGATGCAGGAGAATCTCTGAGTTCAAGGCCAGCATGGTCTACAGAGCGAGTTCCAGGACAGCCAAAGGCTCCACAGAGAAACCTTGTCTCAAAAAAACAAAAACAAATCAAGGGTTGGAGACAGCTGACTGGCTAAGAGTGCTTGCTGCTTTTGTAGAGGGCTGAAGTTTGGTTCCCAGCTTCTACCATGGACAGCTCACAATTGCCAGTAACGCCAGCTCCCAGGAATTTAATGCCCTCTTCCGGCCTCCATGAGTACCTGCACTTATGTGCATACACCCCACGTGACACACATACATAACCATGCACTATTTGTTTAAAAGGTAAAAAGGCCATGGGAGTAGTACAGTGGTAGAGCACTTGTCTATCGTGTGAGGCCCTGGGTTCTATCCCCTGTCCAACAAATAATACTGTTATAATTTTTATTAATAAATGTCATGGAGGCCTGGAAGAGAGACTATAGGGAAGCACTTTACAGAAAAGTTGTTTATGTGGCTGATACCATAAAACAGGACACTCGGGGGCCACAGCACAGACTGTGGCCACATGTGGGGGGGGGTAGACTGCCAGACAGGCATCGTTCTCCATAAATACAAGGTACCAGGCGAGGTGAGTGCCAGGGTCCTCTTCCTGAAGACTGCTGGGTCCAAGCTAAGCTCTCTATTTCCTGCAACTGCTCTGCCTCTGAGCCCTTTCCCTGGCTCCGCAGCCACCCACAGCCCTCCTGGGGGCTTTTCTTTGTTGGGCCTTACTGCCCCAGGCTAGCCCTCCAAGCAGGCTGCCACTTGTTCCTGCTCACGACCATTTCCTCCTTCCCACCCTTCAGGACTTCTTCTCGGTGGCCTGGACAGCCCTGACGGTGGTCACCCAGGCAGGACACAAGAAGCGCTGGAACATGCTGGCAGCTGCAGGCCTCCGGGGCATGATCCGGCTGCTCCATGTGCGTGCAGGCTTTTGCTGCAGCGTCATCCGAGCCCATAAGAAGGCCATTGCCACCCTCTGCTTCAGCCCCACCCACGAGACCCACCTCTTCAGTAAGACCCTCACCTCTGAACTTTATCAGCACTGTAGTCTTTCTGCCCTGCTGTCCTGGGTCTCTTTTCTGGGGTGACAAGGCTCACAGGATGCTGGGCCCAGATGGCTTTAGTCAGAAGTGATTTAGCTTCTTGACCAACCAGGATCTCCATTCCAGCATGCTATGCAGCCTTGCCTTTTCCTAGAAACTTGGGCTGCTTGCTTCTACTCTGCCTGGGACCAAGGGAGATAACCCTGCCCCTTGGGTATGGTGAGCCCAACGAAGGAGCCAGATGTGCTACAAAGACGGCTATGATGCTGTGCACACTGGGCTCAGACAGAACTGGGGATGG